TTGAGTGAGGTTTCAACATTAGAGTGCAACCTTTTCGGAACGCGTATTTTCTGTCCAAAACCCGAGCTGAATCGAGAACATTCTTTTTTATGGTGCGAACCCAACCTGATGCCCGACCCGAAACCCCACGTTAATCCAATCATCCAACAACCAAGCAGCCAATACTATTTATTATCTATACCCACACATACTACACACAACACAGCAATGCACATCATCCACATGTGGACATGCAAAGAGAGAGATGCTGCGAGTGGATGGCTCAGTGCTGCTCCATCCCATGAGCAGGTTTCGCGGGTTACGGTTGCCTTGCCTCAAGGGCACCTCGGCAGTGCACAGGAGGTGAAACGTTGGCACCTTCTCCAGCAGCTACCAGTCCACACTCCATATTATGTGGTCTGTGGGACTTGAACCGGCGACCCTCCGGTTCCCAAGCCAAGTCCCTACATACTGAGCTACTGCCGCCCCAGGGCAGGGTCGTAGGGGTCTGACAACTCTTGCAGTCACAGAGAAGGACTTTATGTTAATTCTGCCTTTAATTTGATTAGTGTACCAGCTATGTGAATGCTATGCATTGTATGAATAGATAAAAACAATATTGAGTTCAAGGTTGCATTATATACATACTAGTAAGCAAAGTTCTTTCAGTCATACCTTGTCAATGATAGGGATTTCAGAATGAATTCTAATAACTGCAAGGCTAATTTAAAGGATGAAAAGGCATATATTCAAAGGTTCTTCTTATCAAAAAAGGTGAGTTCAACTACACGTTTTAATAATACTTTTTTTTTAGCTTGAAGTGTGACTGAAACTGTGTGAACTCACTATCACAAAATTAAAGAAGTCATAGCTTCCAGTGGGTGTCTTACCGGACAGTTTGTCTCATGAAGCGGTCTGGGTCCTGGGCAGTGAAGGTGGTGAGCAAAGACCCAGCGGGCAGACCCTCCTCCAGTTTGATAGACTTGGGGTTTGGACTAAACTCTGGGCTCTCGTTGATGTCCAGGATTCGAATGGAGACAGTTGCGGTAGACTGACGGGGCAGGTGAATGCCGCGAGCCAGCGTTACCTCATTCTCTGCCTCCACCGTCAGCATGAAGGAACGGGTCAGCTCAAAATCTATGGGCTGCACAGAAGAATATTGGTTGTGACGACAATGACCACTGCAGTGTGTAGTGTAAACCTTGTTAGACATCAAGGTTCTCCATTTGTACAAGCAAAAAAAACGTGTGCATTATCTTCTTCTGTTTTCCATCAACTGCAAAATGAAATTTCTCTCTGGTAGGGATCTGGGGAGTGTTATCTCTTTCTGTCTTGACATTATCTGGGACTCACTCAGTCTGTCTCATCTCACCTTTAGTTATCCAAAATAAGCTATAAGGCTCCTGACTGGCAAGAAGAGAGATCACATCTTGCCTCCCTTCAAATTCTGAATTTATTCTCAGGGTCTTTCATTGGTTTCTAAAGTCCGGCATGGACTAATATCTCTGATCTGCTCCACCTCCAGGCTCCTCAGATCTTTAGCCTAATTACTTCTCTCCATTCCACCGTTCATGTTAAAGTCTGAGGTTGATTGTACTTTTTCTGTTATTTCCCCTCGTATGGCTTAACCCAGAGGTCAGCAACCTTTACTATCAAAAGAGACATTTTTGGGAAAGAAAAGAATCTGGAGCCATAAAATATATTTGAGCCTGTAATTATGATGCTAATTTCTTGCTGCAGTTCAGACATACTGGTAAGCCAGTAGCAGAAGTCAAACCTTTGAACAGAGTAGTAATTCATATACATTCTCTCACTAGGCTAACTTCTAGTCAATTAAATAATAGGGAAATTAAAATATTTTTCTGGGGAACACCCCCAAGGACCCCTAGCGGTGCCCAGTCCCCAGGTTGAGAAGTGCTGATGCACAGGATGTGCGAATCAGAGAAAGAAAATTAGTAAAAACGCACAGCATGGAGAGAGAGTATTACAAAATTAGGCCTTTACGTTTTTATTTGTTCATTTTAGTGTATGTGTGTTAGTGTGAATGTGTTTTAGAGTCCCACCTTGACCACAGTGAGCAGGCCCTCGTTGGTGGTGGGGTCGGTGGGGATGGAGAAGCGTCCGGTGGGGTCGCCGGCGATGATGCGGTACACAGCACTCCAGGCTTGAGTGTGAGGCTGGTCTTTGTCCGTCACGGTCAGGTTAGCAACGATCACATTCACTCTGTTCTCATGAACCTCCCCGAAGAACTGACAGACACGGACAAAAAGACAGATTTGTTAACGCTCTCAGGAATTTCTGACACCAATATGCTGGGTGAGAACTGCCCAAGGGGGATGGTGGTGATTTGCTTTTGATATCCCCCCCTGTGGTCATTCATTTTTTATACATGATGATAAGTGTATTCCCTGCTTCTGGTCAGACTGAATAAATGAAATGCAGTCCAGTACATGGTAAGCCTTAGTAGCTGTTTAAAAAATCTGTTTTGAATCCTCCTGAGTGGATGAAACTCCTGTATGTTACCATGGCAGTGACTATAGAGTACTGCAGGGATGGTTTTATTTTATAGGCCCAGAAGTTAGCATTGCCTTTATTCCTTCGACAAAAAGCCAATGGGATTTATCCACTGGATTTTGGATTATTGCAGAAAATAAGCTCTACTAAAAGCTAAACTTATTTTTATTTTTGTTTTAAATTCAGTCTAGTTTCAGGTAGTTTCCAGAGTGGGGTTGCTCATTTAAGCTTAGTTTTTAATGTTTTAAATTGTTTAGTTTTCGTTTTTGTTTCGTTTTAGTTTCAGTATTAGTGTTCAGAATAGGTTTTACAATACAAACACACTGACTCACAGTCAGGTTGGCATGATAATGCACCAACGCCTCCTCATAATTGTTGTGTTGGTGTGCAAGTTTTGAAATGTGACTTTATCTTTAATTCTGTGTTTTATGGGTTTTACTCTGTTGCTTCCTGTTTTAACATGTTATTTCATAAAAGCCCTTCTAGGGACAGCTGTTGCGAATTAGCATCCGCTATAAACACTATACCTTTCAGTCTATGTTTACTGTATCTGTCCCTATAAACTATAAATAAAAAAATTATATTTTTATATCAACCAAAATGTTTTTTTAATACCCTGGCTTTCAACTTATAATTAATAAAAATCTCCAAGTTGTTAACTTTACTTTACAATAGTTTGCAAGAGAGCGAGTATAAACACAACAAGGCTGTAAAGGCGGACTAGAGAGTAGACAACCACTGTAGTCTCATTTAGCCACTTGTTAGCTACCGCCTTTTTTAAAATCACATAAAAAACTTTAAGAGGAGAGCGAACCAGAGGGGCTAAAATGCTAACTCAGTTCCAGGTTTTAGGTTCTGCAGCAAGTTATGGACAATGCTAACTGGCTTAGTATTGAGGTTCTCCAGCTATCAGAAGTGAATATTGCAAACAGCAACAAAACATTTCATCACTTTTTACATTTAGTTTTATTTAAGTAAAATCCCCCCCTTTTGTTTTTGCTTTTCTATCTATCATTAGATTGGTAAAATGACTCTAAACAACTGAGACCGAAGTTGAGATGATTGCTTCTGTCTCACATCAAAGCTTCTGTGTCCCAGAATAAAGACCACGTTCCCCCACAAACACTGCTCCTTCCTGTCTAACCTGCTCGGCTTCACCGAGGAAGATAAACGTATTGGACATTTCATTGGCTTTTCACTCCTCCGCCATCTGCCACCACCAATAAAAACTCGCACAGCCTCAGTGCCGTTTAGAAGAAGCCATTTTAGCGCCATTACATTGTGTATGAGTGCGTGTGGACCTACTGTGTCCGTGGTGAATTCAGGGGGATTGTCGTTAACATCTGTGATCCTGATAAGAGTGGTGGCTGTATTGGACAGGCCGTAGGTGGGGTTTCCCTCCATGTCTGTAGCCTGGATGATCAAGGTGTACTGGGTGACTTTCTGGAAACACACAGAGAACACAGAGGGTCAACCACTGGAAAGATAAGACCTCAAATTCTTTTGTAGTCTTCTTTAGATGCTTTAGTTCACATAAACCGTGGACCCACAACCCATTCTTTTTGGACAGATGTAAAACATATACTAAATGAGCCACAGTTCAAATATTGCTGCACAGATCATAGATTTAAATCTAATTAAAAGCATTTGACAAAAGTGTAATGACTTTGTGTCAAAGCACCATTACAGCTGTTGACTCCATCAGTGCTTCTTAACAATAGTGTTCAGAGAGCTAATGACTGCTAGATTTAACGAGAGTTCTGCACACCTCCTGCTCAAATGTAATTACCTTTTTAATAACTGTAAAAGGAAAATAAAATTTCCATTGCAAAGCTCTACCTGTAAAAGTAGACTTTAACATTCATTTAGAGTGTCCCGAATGTAATGCTTACTTTTCTAAAATGACTAAGTTTTAATTTGTTAGAACTTAATTACAACAAGTCATTGTCAATATTACAGTTTAAAGGCATACTGAGTTGGATTTTCCTATAAAACAATGTATGGAATCATCACATATGACCCACTGGAAGTGTGTGGTGTTTCTGTACCTGCAGAGACCCTGTCCTCTGCTTGTATTTCTTTTTTTTCTCAATATTTTGCTGCATTCCGGACGTTTCTGGACATCAACCTTTGGACAACCAGCTTACATTGCTGTCTCTATCCCTCTCCTCTGCTACCTGTCTGCATTATGAATGTATAAAGAGATGCAGGTCTGTGTGTCTGTCTGACCGAGAGTGTGCACTTCAGCTGCATTCACACAAAATCTGCCAATGTGGCTCCTTCCTGCAGGGTTGTGTGGAGGTGTGGTCATATGTTCCCATTACTGATTGAAATGATGGCCAAAACTATACAAATTACAACAAAGCTCAGCATGAAAGGTCATTTCTGACCTTGGAAACTGTTAGACAGATGATCTGAACTCTAGCTACTGTAGCTATTTGTATACTAAGTAGTCTCATATTTAGGTCACATGATGACAACGGAGCAAAATCCATCCACAGATAAAGACGACATTCTGTAGGATGACCTGATATCTGATTAGAAAAAAGAAACAAACTGCAGGAAACACTGCAGGCTACACACACACAGGCTGAGGAGCAGCTGCTCCTTATGGGTTTATGGGCGAGCCTCACAAAATGTCCACACACACCTCCCGATCGAGGCCTGCTGCCACGGT